AATAGGTACCGCTCCGGCGGGAAGGGAAACGGCATTTCTGTCTGCTGCTCTGGTTCGCCAGAACAGTCATGCTGGCCACATGACCCGGAAGCTGTACGCCGGCTCCCTCGGCCTATAGAGCGAGATGAGTGCGCAACCCCAGAGTCGTCAGTGACTGGACCTAACGGTCAAGGGTACCTTTACCTTATTGCAAAGCTGGGGTGATGGAGAATGGAATGGAGTATTGCAGATGAAAGCTGGAAGAGCCCTGAAGAAGAGCACTCCACACTAGCACATTTTGTTGCAGTCCCACTGGTCCGTTAATAGTCGCTAACTATACTGTGTGATGCAGGGATGCGGGTGGCGCTGTGGGTTAAACCACAGAGCCTAGGACTTGCCGATCAAAAGGTCGGCAGTTCGAATACCCGTGACGGGGTGAGCTCCCATTGTTCAGTCCGTGCTCCTGCCAACCTAGCAGTTTGAAAGCACGTCAAAGTGCAAGTAGATAAATAGGTACCACTCTGGCGGGAAGGTAAACGGCGTTTCAGTGCGCTGCTCTGGTTCGCCAGAAGCAGCTTAGTCATGCTGGCCACATGACCCAGAAGCTGTATGCCAGCTCCCTCGGCCAATAAAGCGAGATGAGCGCCGCAACCCCAGAGTCGATAACGACTGGACCTAATGGTCAGGGGTCCCTTTACCTTTATACTGTGTGATGCACGGCATGGCTGTCTCTTGTAGAAAACGAAGGCTTCCAGCTGAGCAAACAGAGGCACTGTGCCTGCAGATGCATTCAGTCACATCTACTGCAGAACCTGGAGAAAGAGCACATTGTGTGCTCTGCTCAGGTCCATTTTATGTAATATTGTCAAGCAGCTGGACACTTTTACTGTACCAGTAAAGTACTGCAAAACAAACCAGAGGCTGATTTGCAGCCTACTTTCTTTTGCTTTGACATGTCGGCTTTCAGAGTAAGCATGTTGCACATTTTTCCTGCGACTGCTGTCAGCGGCTGACAGCAAGCCTTAGCTCTTCGGCAAAAGATCATAAAACACCCAGTTTTCTACCCCTTTCTGTGAGTTGTTGTCAAGCTCTGCTGCTAGAAAAACAGCAAGATTTAGCACAGCCTTTTCCATATTGATTTTCTAGCTGCTGGTTGGTTGATTGGTTTGGTTACCAAGCATATCTTCCCCTTAGAGATTCAGGCATCCTAACAGTCCCAACTTCCTAGTGGGTAATGGAATTTTATTCATTATTTAATAAAAATAGATCATGTACACATTAGCAGCTTAAAAGGCAGCAAGGTCATTTCTCTCCCCCCCCCCCCCCGCATTTCAAGTACTTATTTTTGTTTTGTTTTTGTTTTTCAGATTAAAATTTTACAGTCCCAACATACAACATAAAAAGTAGATTGCAAGGAATCTCCTGGATTTCCATCCTCCCCTTTGTGGGTCTTATTGTTAATCATTTCCTCCTGCATCTTTTATAATAATCCATATCTTTTACATCTCCACTGTGTCCAAAATTCACCATTAAACTACAAGTGATATTCCAATCCTACTAACTGCTTACAATGGTTTTTAAGATAAGTTATATTTTTTTCCCATTCTTTATTAAAATTTTGGGATTTCTGATTCTTCCAGTCATTTTAGCCCTTTTGGCATAATCCATCATTCTTATCTGGTAGGAATTTTATCTTCTTTCCATCTCTGGGCCAGTAACACCTGCACAGCCATGGTCGCATACATAGTTTTTTCTGCTCCATTGGGATTTCAGCACCTAGAATTCCTAAAAAGAAGGCTTTGGTTGTTGTTTTTTAGAAAAGGTTATTTTAAACATTTTTTCAACTCATTATATATCATTTCCCAAAATTCTTTTACTACCTTACATTTCCACCACATATGATAAAAGGTGCCTTCTTTTTCCTTATCAAGTACATTTCTATGCTGCTGTACAGACCGGAAAAGGGATAAGATAGTCTTCACACATTACTTGATTTGCTTGCAACTGCTCCAAATTCATCTTCAATGAAGCTGCTATCTGCACATGTGCAACTGCTGTCTCAAGGGTACACACCTCAGCTTCACTACTGCTTATGTTTTCAAACTGGTTTGAGGGAATGCTTATGTTTTCAAACTGGTTTGAGGGAAAACACATGAAACAGAAGTCGTTCTCAATAAACTGCAGGATACCAATAGATTATGACCAGCATCATGTGTCTTCTACTTCAAACACCAGTGGTGGGGTCACACTGGAGCCGGAGTAGAATAATAGAATCATAGAGTTGTAGAGTTGGAAGGGATCCCAAGGGATCTAGTCCAACCCCCTGCAATGCAGGAATCTCAGCTAAAGCATCCATGACAGATGGCCATCCAACCTCTGCTTAAAAACCTCCAAGGAAGGAGAGTCCAAAACCTCCCAAGGGAGACCATTCCACTGTCAAACAGCTCTTACCATCAAAAAGTTTTTCCTGATCTTTAGTCGGAATCTCCTTTCTTGCAAATTAAAGCCATTGGTTCGAGTCCTAAACTCTAGAGCAGGAGAAAACAAGCTTGCGCCATCTGGTCTCCATCAGATATTTGAAGATGGCTATTATATCAGTCTCCTCTCTTCCAGGCTAAAAACGCCCAGCTCCTTCAACCGTTCCTCATAAGGCTTGGTTTCCAGACCCTTGATCACCTTGGTTGCCTTCCTCTGCACACATTCCTGCTTGTCAGCATCCTTCCAAAATTGTGGTGCCCAGAACTGGAGACCGTATTCGAGGTGTGGTCTGACCAAGGCAGAATACGGTGGTACCTCGGGTTAAGAATTTAATTTGTTCTGGAGGTCCGTTCTTAACCTGAAACTGTTCTTAACCTGAAGCACCACTTTAGCTACCGTAATAGGGCCTCCTGCCGCCACCACACCGCCGCCGCACAATTTCTGTTCTCATCCTGAAGCAAATAGTACCAAAGGTACTATTTCTGGGTTAGTGGAGTCTGTAACCTGAAGCGTCTGTAACCTGAAGTGTCTGTAACCCGAGGTACCACTGTAGAGTGGTGGTACTATTACTTCCCTTGATGTAAATGGCAATGTGTACACAGCCTTAGCATTGCCTTTGTAGAACTCAGCAGGGAGGAGGGTGGGGACAGAATTAGAATAAGTTGACTCTGCCTGTCATTGGCTCTGTCACTGTTGGCCTACTTGCATTCAGTCTCACCAGTCCTGCTGGGCACCAGTCATCAGGGACAACTTTACAGATCTTTTACCCAGTGATTCAGGGATGGGACTGCAGGCCTCCATCCTTTGTGCCCTGCCCTTGGTCCTAGCTATGAAGTTAGTTTCTTTGCATCGACAAAGTCAATTTTGAGATATGTGCTGGGTGAACGTAGAAGGGTCATTTATATATAAATGATGATATACGCTTCTCACGGAACGGAATGCGAGTCGTTTTTCTTCGCTTCCTTTTTAGAATCACTTAGCCATTTCTGCTTTATGTAATCACCATTTCAAGTTTATGATATTATAATCCTGTGTGGAATGTGCTGGCATTCAGAACAGAGGCAAATGTTTGTAAAGGAAATAAGAAAACAGGGGCACTAAAAAGGGATGGATATTGCTATCAAGATAATAGGAAAATGCTCTAAAAGAAGCAGTGTGAAACACACGATCCGCTACCACAAATAGAACCCGATGCTTTAAAATTCTTAATGGCACTTACATGAAATTACTCATAGCAGGAATCTGCAAACCTAAGGAGAGAGGATGTACACACCAGATGAGCTTCAGAATGTGCTGATCATATTGATAAGGCTAATAGCTTAGCCTGACAAATTTGAACAGGTACATCATAAGCTTTAAGGGCCCTAGGTGTCCTGGAATCTCTTTCCAAGCCTTGAAATGATGTTGGATTGGAGGGAGAGAAGACAACTGGAGACAGTTCTAGCAGTGCCCCAAGTCAGTCCATTGGTCAACCTTGCTGAGTATTGCCTGCACAGCTTGGCTGCTGCTCTCCAGAGTTTCAGGTTAGGTGTCTCCCAGTCTTACCTGGAGATTGATTCTGGAACCTTCTGCATGAAAGCAGATGGCCTATCCCTAGGCTACAGCCCTTCCCCTATTTCTCCAGGGGGAGAAAGACATTGTTCTATCTCGGTGTTTCCCAGCCTTTGGTCTTCAGCTGTTTTTTGACTACAACTCCCATAATCCCTAGCTAGCAAGACCAATGGTTAGGGATGATGGGAATTGTAGTCTAAAAACAGCTGGAGACCAAAGGTTGGGAAACACTGTTCTATCTCAAACATATTCTCTGTCTGTCTGTTTGTCTCCAAAGTAGGTGAACATCATGAGGCATGATTAAATTCTTTTATTGCGTGTGCACAAAACCCAGAAATTTGAGTTGGTACGAGCAGACAATCCTAGAATAGATGGACAAGTAATTTCACCTTGCTCTGTGTGTTTTAGTGGACAAGAACATGTTTCATTGGAAAAGATTTTGTCTTTAACCGTGTGCTGAGGAAGAACTCCAGAGCAGAATTTTAATGGCCAACACTGGATATGTACTCTGTGAATTATTTATGGTTGCAGCCCGTACGCTAGTTGGTGAACAGTGGAAGGAATGGAATGTGACTTTGTACCATCCAAGTAAACACTGCAAAGAACTGAACAATGGAAGATAGTAATTAATTCTCCCAGCACACCAGGTCTGAAACAACAACATACATGGAGGAATACACACGTGAAATTGATTTTATAAGATGTAACAGAGGTGCTGTTTGTAACGAGGGGAAAAATGTGCTCAGCTGCAAGAATGGACTAACAACAAGTGAAGGATCAATCTGACATTAAATAAGAGATGAAATGATTGACATATGTCTACAACTGGAGCGGGAAACCTGATTTTAAGAAACTGTATTAAATTTAAGCAATTTGGTTTGATTTGTAATAATTGGAAAAATTAATTTTATTTTTTTTAAAAAAGAACATGTTTCATCAGATGCAGCTAAGACAAATGTATTTTGTCTTCATATTGCTAAATCCAATATATTCCAGTGACAAATTCCAATAGAGGAGCCATAGTTAAACATTGCAGGAAAACTAGCAAAGATAGATTTTGTTTTAAAAAATCCTCACGGTGCCTTTTGAGCCCAGTTCAGTCACTCCTAGGGAGTGAAGCCCATTTAAAACTGAGAGTGCATGTCCAAAGGGCACACACAGCTTTGATATCCCAACTATTCAGAGGAACACAGGCTATACTGTTAAAAGCACTGGAGCTTCCTGCCCCTTCCTTTGCTTCTGAGAAATGGAAGATCAAGTGATCTGGGAAGTATCAAAAGTTCCTGCATGACAGGAGGCCTTGGAGAAAAATGTGCTTTCCCCCTGCTCCTCCTGCTCCCTGTTTTTGAATGAGCTCTGTTGCCAAGAATGCTGTTTATGGCTCAAGCGAAACATCATAAAGGGGATTGCTGCTGAGCAGCCGGCCCCATGGATCATCCTAATGGACAAGGTTACAAATTATTCTGATGACCCGTTGGGCTGTGTGTGTGAAGGCAGTGAGGGTACAGAGTGTAATAGCAAATATGTGGATTCATGATCACCAGGAGCGCTTCAGAGTGGAAGGCCCGGCAGTTTCCCAGCATTCCACAGGCATAATAGGGAGCCTCTCTCTTGTTCCACAAGATTCCTAGGGAAGCTTAAGGCATTGCATTTCTGTGTAAAGAAGAAAATAACAGGAGGTGGGACATGCTCAAATTTCCCTGGTTCAGAATTGCTTACAAAACTTCCAACATCACCACCACAACATCCAACATCATCACTTCCTGCAGAATTTGTAATTCACCAAGCCAAACAGTGCACCAGCCATGTCTTCTGGCTTCCTGGGTGCTTTGACATTGTCCTCGTTTTTGAAGTCCCAAGCAGTCAGCAAAAGCATGGGGAATTTTCTGAAACAAAAATGGGATATCAGCTCCGCCCAAGGCATGATGGATAACAGCAACAATTGGGAAAAGATAGAAATAACATTTCACAAGGAAAGGAAGAAACACCACGGACAGAATAATTGTCACACACAGGAAGAACAAGGATATAGTTTGAGTGCCTCACTTTTTGTTCTATAAATCATTTAATGTGTCATCACGAACAGAAGTTATTAATATTGCAGTTGTTGTACAAGGGATTATTATTTTGACCAGAATGTAATTGAAATTAATAAGATTTTGAAACGCAGAAATAAAGAAAATCATCAAACCATCAATTCTAGCACGTGGGGGAGGCCACCTAAATTATATAATTTGGTATTTGAATGATTGGTATTAGTAATTGTATTATAATTTGGTATTGTTATAATGAGGCTGATGTTGGATAGTAATTGAAAATTTTAAAAAAATTATTATAAAACAACAACGAGCAGTCAACAAAAGCAGGACGTGGATTAATGTTTGAATTTGAATTGTAAAACTTTTCATAAAGTTTGTTTGAAATCAAATTCCTATTCCCTGAGTACTGAGTTCAGTTGTGCTAGATGGAGTTGTCTACATCCAAACTCTGAATCCGTATCTGTATCCCCCTGTCCGATAGAATAGAACTAGACTATCCCAACCTGGTACCCTCTGGGCAGTGCTAGACAACAACTTCCATCTTCTCTGCAATGTTGCCTGTCTCTCTCAGCAGTGTACAGAGAGGTTGTCACCCTGCCTATGCACCCACAATTCCTTATTAACCAGAAGCTGCTTGTCATCCAGTATGACTGATTTCACTACTTTAGTGAAGTATTTCACATGTCACGGTAACCCAGGGGTAGGCAACCTAAGGCCCGGGGGCCAGATCCGGCCCAATCGCCTTCTCAATCTGGTCCATGGACGGTCTGGGAATCAGTGTGTTTTTACATGAGTAGAATGTCTCCTTTTATTTAAAATGCATCTCTGGGTTATTTGTGGGGCTGCCTGGTGTTTTTACATGAGCAGAAGGTGTGCTTTTATTTAAAATTCATCTCTGCGTTATTTGTGGGGCATAGGAATTCGTTCATTCCCCCCCCCAAAAAAAATAGTCCGGCCCACCGTCTGAGGGCCGGTGGACTGGCCCATGGCTGACCCCTGTGCTAACCCATGGAGGGCAGCAGTAAATAGAAGGGAGATGAGCCAAATCATCCCTATCTCTACTCCTGGAGCTAAGGATGGAAGGCTCCGTTGATTTTGGTTCACTCATTTTCCCAATCTTAAAGCCAGTTCTCCACATTTTGCAGAAATTTGCAGTGTTTTCTTTAAAGAGAACCCTCATGGAAATTCTCCAGCATTTTAGCGTGAACTTCTCCCAATAAACACATTTTCCAATGCAGTTTCAACAAATTCACACATTTTTGCAAGCAATTCCCCCCAAATATAATGCATTTGTGTGCGTCGTTTTCGTCATTTTTATGTACCCTTCCCACTAATAAATGCATTTTTGTCAACATTGCTTGGTTAATAAACTGCATCATGAAATTTAGGTAAGTGTGAATTTTGAAAGATAGCTGTGTTTTGGTTTGCATATTGTTTCAGAAAGTGCAAAATTGATAGATTTGACTTTAAATGCATATTGAATAACATTTCTCCCCAAAATCTTGAAGCCCACATGTTATCACACTTTTGCTAAGATATAGTTTGTTGTGCTAAGTTGTGCTAAGGTATAGTTTGCATTAGTGTGAAATTTTAATCAGGCCATTTTTTTGTATAGGATTTGGTGAAACAGCTGCAATTAGGATTTGCAGCATTGTGTCGTCAAGGCTTTACTGCAGCAACCCCTTCCTCCATTGACATCTGTATATTGTTTATTTTATTATCATTATCATTATCACTATCATTATTATCATCAAGCAACAAATTCTGGACTGCACTAATGCAGTGCTATTAAGTAAGGAGCCAGCCCAATCCCATTCAGAAATGCTTCTTTATCTAGATCTTAAATATCCCTAATATGTTCTCAAGGAGTGATCCTTTTCTGATTTTTTTCTGCAGCAAAACACTTCAATTTGCCTTGTTGGACTTGAAAATCTTTAAACATCTATGGGTCGAGGGCAGGAAAATAACACAGAATGAACCTGCCATGTTCTTAGGCAAATATTTCAATGCTGCAGACATAAAAATAGTAAGATTGACACTACCGGGGGGGGGGGGGGCGGCAGATGGGTAGCTTGGTTTACAACAACCAACACATTCCATCATCCACAATTTTTACAGCACTTTCTAGTAAACAAAATATTTTATGACTGTCAGAGACTGAACAAAGTGTTTCCTGAGACAGAAAATGTGTACATACCCATAGGTGATAAAAATATTATAATGAGCTTCATCGTTGACAATATGCTATTTTATAATATTACCCCCAAACTTAAGGGACGCGGGTGGCACTGTGGGTTAAACCACAGAGCCTAGGACTTGCCGATCAGAAGGTTGGTGGTTCGAATCCCTGCAACAGGGTGAGCTCCCTGCTCCTGCCAACCTAGCAGTTCGAAAGCACGTCAAAGTGCAAGTAGATAAATAGGTACCGCTCTGGCGGGAAGGTAAACAGTGTTTCCGTGCACTGCTCTGGTTCACCAGAAGCAGCTTAGTCATGCTGGCCACATGACCGGAAGCTGCCTGCGGACAAACGCAGGCTCCCTCGGCCAATAAAGCGAGATGAGCGCCACAACCCCAGAGTCGGTAACGACTGGACCTAATGGTCAGGGGTCCCTTTACTTTTACTTACCCCCAAACTTATGGTATCTATTTGTGTGTGTGTGTGTGTGTGTGTGTGTGTGTGTGTGTGTTGGGGGGGGTTGCTTTCCCTCCCCCAGTGAGTGATCATTTGCATGCAAGAAATATAGGCTATATATTTAGTCATTTGATGCATTTATTTTCTTCCAAAAAAAATTGTGTTTCTCAGCCCCCAGCAGAGAACATTAGCTTAGGCTAATGTTTAAGATGAGAGGCAGGTTGAATCCTATACACAGTTACCAGAGAGTAAGTTCCATTGAAGTCAATGGGACTTACTTCTGTGTAGGCATATATGTGGGTGCACATACACAGTCACCTTGAGCTGTAGATCTTATGGGAAATTTGAACCCGGACCTTCACTCATCCAAGCCCATCATTTGAAACCAAGGCACTACAGTGGTCCTTGTGCAACTGGGCATAAAAATGTCAGGCAGTCCTGCAGGGTTTCTCTTGTCTGGCCTTCACAAAAGCGAGAGCACTTTAACCTAGAAGCGTTTGAGGAAGTAAAGCCTCTGGAAAAAAACAAAAAATGGGAATTTGTATGTGCACATACACTTTCTGTCCTGCAGAAAGGAAGATTGTGCTATAACAGCCTCCCACGGAGAAGGACTGCATTGTCACTTGCTGGGAATCTGTTTTAAATCACCACCGAATCTGAATCACCATTTGATGGTGCCCTGCGTGGCTTTAAAATCTGATCTGATGCTGTTGCTGCCGTTTTGCTGCTGCTGTTTCTTCAAGAAGCAAAGCAACCCTGGTCAAGAATTCTTAGTCTTAGACATCTAAAGGCAGCCCTGTTTAGGGAAGCTTTTAATGTTTAACAGACTATTGTATTTTAATATTTTGTTGGAAGCTGCCCAGAGTGGCTGGGGAAACCCAGCCAGATGGGCAGGGTATAAATAAATTATTATTATTATTATTATTATTATTATTATTATTATCCCACCGAACTCCGTGGGACTAACTTCTGAGAAGAAATATGCAGAATTGGAGTCTTGAGTACTTCTTCTGACGCAAGCCCCATGGGATAGCATGTTCTTGAGCAGGGGTCAGCAAACTTTTTCAGCAGGGGGCCGGTCCACTGTTTCTCAGACCTTGTTGGGGGCTATACTATATTTTGGTAAAAAAATATATGAATGAATTCCTATGCCCCACAAATAACCCAGGGATGCATTTTAAATAAAAGCACACATTCTACTCATGTAAAAACACGCTGATTCCCAGACCGTCCGTGGGCCGGATTTAAAAGGCGATTGGGCCAGATCCAGGCCCCGGGCCTCAGTTTGCCTACCCATGTTCTTGGGCGAAGAGGAGGTGCTGTCATTTTGGGGAACTTTTCAGTCCTTCTGATTCCCGTTGAAGTTTTAAGCTGTACTTTATACATTGATTACAGCACAGTAGTAGAGTAGACAGGTGCGAAGGAGGGCAGCAGGAAGCTAAGCCATACAGATCCCTCCCAACTCACTGGCCTCCTGTCAGCCATTTATTCAGGCAGGAGACAGGTGGAGCTGAAGCCTAGAGCACATACATTCCAAGGATCAGGCAATGCAAGTAGATTTGTCCTCTGTTTGAACCCATGTGGGTTCTTCCCCAGCCTGCTTTGTCCTGCAGCATCAATAGTTGTTGGCCAGTGGACACCCAGGAACCTGCTGAATAGTTGCAAATGATATGAGCCCTGGCCAGAACTGGGTGGTGTTCAACTAACAATTCCCATTAGTTCAAGGATTTCTGTTTCTACAATGAGACTCCTTGCCCTCTGTGGGTGCTCTGTGCCCTCCCCAAATCTGCTGTGGTTCTGGGAACCCCCAAAACAGATTTAGGGGGCATGTTTGGAGAGGAGAGGGGAAGACCATTCAGTTGCACAAGCCGAAATTTGTATGCTGATGCAGTGCTTTAGCTCCAGGTGGGGGGTGGGAGCTAGCCAGGTTTTATTGTCCTGAGTGAAGTCTCTGTTGTTGTGGTTGTTGTTTAGTCGTTTAGTCGTGTCTGACTCTTCATGACCCCATGGACCAGAGCACGCCAGGCACTCCTGTCTTCCACTGCCTCCCGCAGTTTGGTCAAACTCATGTTCGTAGCTTCAAGAACACTCGTCCAACCATCTCGTCCTCTGTCGTCCCCTTCTCCTTGTGCCCTCCATCTTTCCCAACATCAGGGTCTTTTCCAGGGAGTCTTCTCTTCTCATGAGGTGGCCAAAGTATTGGAGCCTCAGCTTCACGAGGGACGCTATTGAGGCTCCCAGCCTGTGTGCATTGTTGTTGTTTTCAAACTTGGTCTTTGGCCCGGGTGAAATAAAGCCTAGTTTCGCCCCTGCACTGACACAATATTCACTTAGTGCTCCATTCACTGGCACCTCCATCACAATCTGGGTCAGCCATGAAGCAACGGGAAGCATCAGAGCAGTCCTGCTTCATCAAACTAAAGGCCTATCTCGTTCAGCATCCTCTTTCCCACAATGTGCAACCAGATGCCTATGGGAGGTCCGCAAGGAGGATCAGACGAGGGCAACTGTCCACTCCTGACGTACTCCTAGAAGCTGGCATCCAGCAGTCTCTGAACTGGGAGGATGTAAACGTGCTGCTGCATTTCATCAGAAATAGAAGTCATTGATTAACTAATTCTCCAAGAATTTTCCCAGTCTCTAGAGCCATCCAGGCTAGAGGCAATTGTCACATTCCACACATTAATTATGTGCCGTTTGTCTGTCCTGAATCTCCTGGGCAGCAGATTCCAGAGGGAATGTCTTTTTTCCCTGCCTCAAATCTCTTTGCATCATTAAAAAGAGAGAACGCTCCAATTTAGAGAAAGGTGTGTGTGTGGAGGGAGAGAGAGAGATTAGGCACGCATTATTCACAACCCAGCATTCTTTAAAAATAAAAAACATTCCCCCACATTCTTATGCACAAAGAGAGAGAAACTCAAAGGTTTTTCCTGCAGATAATCATCAATGATCTTTGATCATTCGCACACAGTGGAGAATCACAGCCTTGCAAATGCCGAAGATTCCTAATCTATCTCAACAGGAACAAGGAGCCGAATCAAGATGAAGGCTGTGTACACGTTACCGACTTAAAAGGCAGCTAAGTCGTTCTATTTCTCAGTTTGGGTTGAACCTGGTTTGCAGGGAAAACACACTAGAAGGAAGCATTTCCTTAAGAAATAGCAGGATAAGTACAGGAAAAGATGTGGATTGTGGCCAACAACACCTTGTGTATGCTGCTTCCAAAATCAGCAGTGGGTCCACATTGGCTGCTGAGTAAACAGGAGTATGTACACAGCTTTAGCTCTTCAGAACTAACCACCAGAATCCTCTGGAAATTGAGGTTATTCCGCACTATTTAAGCCTCAGCTGCTTCTTTAATGTCAGGTAAGGTTCGATCAATTATGGAAATGAACTTGCTTTATCACTGACTAGTTCTAGGACCTCAAACATGAAGAGGACATCAGTGACGTTTCCCGAAAGCCACTTGACGCAGGCACCAAATAAGGTTGCTCTGACCTCCACCTTAGCAACCAGCTGGTGGTTGTCTAAACAAGACAATTTTACAGGAACCTCCAACAAGGAAGAGAACAAACAGAAAGGAAATCAGCCCCCTCATCTAGTTTATTGCTCCTCCGTTTTATTGTATTAGTTCTGAATTATTTGCACTGAATTTTCTTCCTGAGCAGAATTAATTTTTGTCATTTCAGGACATTAAAAAAAATATCTGAGTAACAACGAAGATATCAATCTAGCACAGGCTAGATTTTATTTCAAAGGATCTAAGGGCAGCCACTCTCTCTGTGGCATATGTTTACAGAGCAAATGTTTGAAAGTGTGGGGTAACTGGAAACGGTCCCCTAACCTCCCAAATAAAAATGAACACTCATTAAACAGCCAAGGCTGTGTATCTCCTAGCAAACACCTCGGGATGCATGCTTACTAATAAACAGTTTGTCTGGAAGGGCCCTAGGGCCCATCAGTCTGGAAAAAGCCATTCTAGTTCCCCTGTAGCACTAAGTTCAGCTGTGCCTACAAGGATCTGGGGAGCTATGAACTGATTTTTGCCAGGTTTTTAGGGAACGCATATGCAGCTGCTGATTCCAGGCCCGTTCCAGTGGAACATTTTACACAAGAAGACCAGGCCTTTTTCAATACATGCCTGGATACGTGTGAGTTGCAGGGATCCTTGGGCAGAGCTAGCAACAAATTGATGTTCTGAGCCAAGGTGGAGTTTCCCAGATATGAGAATGAGGAGGAGAGAGGCTGAGTCAGTGCTTTCCCATTACATATGGTTGGGGGTAAAGAAGTGAGATAAGGATTTAATTCGTTATGCTTACTTTTAACGATTTAAAAAGTACTTTTTTCAACCAACTCGAATCTCACCTCTTTGTTTCTCGTATCTGCACTCATTGAGAAGTTGTTGACGTTCTATGATCTTTCAGTTGTCTTTGCATCCTGGTGAAAGTGTGGTATTAACTTCAGTGTTTATGCACAATCCAAAGCTGGGGAGAGTGGAGAACAGAAGAGAGAGGGACTGTTATTCCTCAGGCAAATATGCTCCTGCCAACAACCTGTCATTGAACGGTGGAGTCTTACGGTGCTGAAACATTCTCTCCTCTATTTATTCCTCGTGCACTGACAAAAAGGAACATTGCCATAGACCACCCAGATTTCGGAGGTAGGAAGAGGACGGTCTCCAGATAGTTGAGATCGAGAGAGAGCGATGAGCTGAACTTTGCCCAGTACTGATCTGCTCAAATACCTGTGGGCAGGAGCATAATCGGGCAAATGCGCCCGGGGCTCCTGCTGCAATGATTTATGCAATGTTGTACCTTTATAGCAAACAGTGCAATGCTTGCTCTGCAATTTGGAATACTAAAGTGGCACAGGGAAAACCAGATAACAATCTCCTGGGTGACGCAGGGCATTTCCAGGCTGTCACTGATTTCAGGTGGGATTAGATCACATAATGGCAAATTCAGGTCACGCAGTTATAGCTGTTCTAGAGCTTTTGCGCAACAAACCCACAGTCCGCATGTGTGACCAGTCCAGAAAGTGTTGCTCTGGCTGCCAGTGAGTTACTGGGCCAAATTCAAGGGGACAGTAATGGCACATAAAACCCTAAATGGCTTGGGACCCTAGTAATCTAAAAGACCCATGTAATCTAAAAGACCCCATTTCAATCATCTTAAACCCTCTGATTGACAGGTGAGGCCTTGTTTGTGATGCCCAGCTGGCTGGACCTTTTCAACGGTGGTTCATGCCCACCCTGGCAGACTCTACAAGTGTCCCTATTTTCCAGGGGCAATCCCAGATTTGCAGAAGCTGTCGTAGTTTCTGGTTTAATCTCAGAATGTCTCACTTTTCCTTAGGCTGCCCCAAACCATCAAAGGGGGACACGGGTGGTGCTGTGGATTAAACCACAGAGCCTAGGACTTGCCGATCAGAAGGTTGGCGGTTCGAATCCCCGCGACGGGGTGAGCTCCCGTTGCTCGGTCCCTGCTTCTGCCAACCTAGCAGTTCGAAAGCATGTCAAAGTGCAAGTAGATAAATAGATACCGCTCCGGCGGGAAGGTAAACGCCATTTCCATGAGCTGCTCTGGTTCGCCAGAAGCAGCTTAGTCATGCTGGCCACCTGACCCGGAAGCTGTACGCAGCTCCCTCAGCCAGCAAAGCAAGATGAGCACCGCAACCCCAGAGTCGGCCACGACTGGACCTAATGGTCAGGGGTCCCTTTACCTTTACCTTTAAACCATCAAAAAGCACACACAGATCCTCACCGATGGTGCTTGGATACAGCCCTGTTCTTGCCAAAAGACTATTTCCCCACCTGCATTGGGGTTGTACAAGGCACTGCTTATTCTGGGTTCACATTATTTATCAAAGGAAAAGGGAGCCTGAAGATGACACAAGGGCAGTCTATGATCAGAAATAAACCAAGCTGTGTTGAAACTTCAAAGGAGCAAGAAACAGGTCACGTTTCCAGTGAGCAAGGCAATGGAGGATGAAACACTCCCAGGGCCTGCGCCTTGACCCTCAGCTTCGTTGCCTCTTTGATCTTGGCTAAGGAGTCCCAAAGCTTTAACGCAGCTTAACATCAATTGCACAAAGCCCTTGGCTCTTTCAGGGAAGACTCCTGTCTAAGCTGATGTTGAGTATAATTTGCAGTTGACCAGGAGCCCAGACTTATTTCTGCTTCAGCACATAAATTCTTACGCGGTGCATTTCGGATTGAAGCACGAGGTGACCGATTTTCAGTGTCTGCGTTTGTTAAATCCTGCATGGGCGCCTTTGCAACTAGGCTCTCAAACTGGCTTGTCCATCAGCTAAACTTTAACTGCTTCTCCATGCTTGATTGAGGTATTCTGCCTGATCCTGTGACTAACTGTGAAGGTTTTCTCCTTCTTCATGCCGCTTAAATTATGATTGTATTTATTGCTGATTTTAAATGTGTTTCTGTTAATGTGGTTTATGCTTGTTTACACTTTTTGTAGGAGCTTATCTACTGCAGAAGGGGGTTGCTAGGCACTTAACAGACTCGGAGCACAGGCCTGTAATGAAAATTTGCATAAACATATTCTAATTTTGAAGTACATATGCAAATTTTGATAGCCTTTCAGAGCTCGGGGGGGGGGGCAGGGGGACTCTGTCTCTTGCTGCCAGGGCTTAGATTTTGCTGCTGAGGTCCTCTTATGTATATGCTAGGTCATAAATATTCATAATTTGCGTGTGGCAGGTTAAGTTGGAAAGTGGCTGTGATTTCATTGGCTCTGTAGTTGGCGCAGGAGAAGGAAGGTCCTGGGATTCAGGCCCTTTTTAGCCACTCTCTAACAATTCCACTGGCCTTTGCTCCTCCAAAAGTGAAGTTTAAACTTCTTTTGTATAAATAAATAAGTTGCCTCCCATGGCAATCTCAGTTATAAATCACATCCCTTACATATTGCCCACACATACACCCCTACTTACAGAACAAGGGTGCCTAAACTTTGGCTCTCCAGCTGTTGATGTTGTTATCATTTATTAGACTCATCAGTCGCTTGTGACCTACAGTGTTACCCAGCAACTTACATTTGAAAACAGAGACAGAAATACATTATTACCATTACTATTATTTTCTTTTTATTAAGCTAAAGTGCTGCTGTTACAAACAGGACCTGCTTACCAAAGGCAATGCATTCCCTGGAGGTTGTTCTTTAGGCGAGAGTTTGCAAAATGAGTTGATGATGTCCATTGATTCAGATGCAAAAGTTTCTAATGCGTTTTCAGCATGGAAAGTTGGCCCCAGAAAGCAGAACAAACAAGCAAAGGAAAGAAAGAAAGAAAGAAAGAAAGAAAGAAAGAAAGAAAAGGGAAACCCTCTAATTTGTCTGATCACTCCTCTTCCTTCCATTTCTCAGCCAGCAATAAGCAACAAGGAAGTGAAAAATGCTCTCTGTTTGAATATCTGAATCTGTGGTGTGCATAGCCAGGTTTGGGTACCAATGCCTTGTGTTCAGATAAGTGAATTTTCACATAGCTAACTTCCGTAAAGCAGGACCTGCGTGTACATACCTCTGCCAGAGATTGGGATTATTTCAGAGAGGAAATAGATATGTAGTCCATCCACAGGCAAACATTTATTTATTTTAATCTCTCTCTCTCTCTCTTACTATTTTGTTTACAACAGAAAATGAATGTTTGCATATATTATCCTTAAAAAGGTAAAGGTACCCCTGCCCATACGGGCCAGTCGTGTCCGACTCTAGGGTTGTGCGCTCATCTTACTTAAGAGGCCGGGAGCCAGCGCTGTCCACAGACACTTCCGGGTCACGTGGCCAGCGTGACGAAGCTGCTCCGGCGAGCCAGCACCAGCGCAGCACACGAAAACGCCGTTTACCTTCCCGCTATAAAGCGGTACCTATTTATCTACTTGCACTTAATTGTGCTTTCGAACTGCTAGGTGGGCAGGAGCTGGGACCGAAAGACGGGAGCTCACCCTGCCGCGGGGATTCGAACCGCCGACCATGCGATCGGCAAGTCCTAGGCGCTGAGGTTTTACCCACAGCGCCACCCGCGTCCCATTATCCTTAATCGAAGATAAATGGATGAATTATAAAATGTCAGATCAAGAATATTAATACTTCTAGAGATACAATGAAGCAAATTAATCCTCCTTCATTAAATAATGCTTCCCACAATGTTCTTAAAGCAATACCTAACACCTCCTATGGCTGTATACAACAGTAGATTTCAGTTTTGAGAACATAGCAAAACAGGCTCCATTTGTTCACAGCTGTATCCTCATCTTCTCTTCATTCCCTTGTTTGACATAATTTATAAGCTTCATCATGCTTAGCGCATCCAAAATTTTCAATAAGTATTGAAAAGTTGTTTGTTCCTTCCTTTTCCAATTATAGCTAATATGGATCCTTAATGGCTGTCAGAAGACAGATAATCATTTCTCCGTCTTCCTTCAAAATTATTGTTGTCTATATGACCAAACGTTCATTTGGATGCAACATTTGCATTTTTCCTTGTCAAACTATTCATGTGATGCAATTCATAAGTGTATGTGATTGCATAATGCAAACTACAATAATCTCTGCATGTCTGAGAGAAAGAGGGGGATGTTTGTTTTATGTTGATATGCATAAATCTTCTCTTCTCTGTTGTATAGGCAAATTAGGGAGCTATCTGGAGAAGGAGTTAATGCAGTGCTGGCAGCCAGAGTTACAACTAGAAGATTTTTGTTCAGACACCAGCTTCTGTGCTCAAAATATTCAAAATATGCCATTATGATTTGGCAGAAAATAAGACACCAAGTCCTTAGAATAATATGTGTGATATACAATATTAGGCATGCTCAGAGTAGAACTATTGAAATCAGAGGTCCTTGGATTGAATGTTAAAACACAATGCAAATGGTATCTCTGTGAAGGGAATCAGGGTCTCCAGCAACTCTCAGCATCCTTAACAAACCACAGTTCCCAGGATTCCTTGGGGTGAACCATGACTTTTTAAAGTGGTACGATACTGCATTAATTGTAGCCTAAATTCTGATAAACAAAAATCTACCAAAATATTCACCCCTCCAAAAAAATTTACAGCATTGTTTAAGGGTGGTGCTGTGGTTTAAACCACTGAGCCTCTTGGACTTGTTGATCAGAAGGACAGCAGTTTGAATCCCCGTGATGGGGTGAGCTCCCATTGCTCTGTCCCAGCTCCCGCCAACCTAGCAGTTCAAAAGCATGCCAGTGCAAGTAGATAAATAGGTACCACTGTGTCAGGAATGTAAACGGTGTTTCCATGCGCTCTGGTTTCTGTCACAGTGTTCTGATGCGCCATAAGTGGTTTAGTCATGGTGGCCACATAACTCGGAAAGCTGTCTGTGAACAAACGCCAGCTCCCTTAGCCTGAAGTGAGATGAGCGCTGCACCCCACAGTCGCCTTTGACTGGACTTAACTGTCCAGGGGTCCTTTATCTTTTACTAGAATTCCCTGTCGCTAAACTAATTAATCAAACATGTACGTATAGGACATTTTACATAGGAGGACATAGAGAAGCAATAATCTGAGTTTTTGAGTCGGATTACCAGTCTCCTTTTCTCCATACTAGATTAACATTACCAGTCAATCTATTTTACATTCATTTCTTCTGAATGAAGGTTTCTGGGATTTGGCCCTCCTGCTATCTCCACTTTCCCTTCATCTGAGAACACACTTGCAT